TCTATGTACTCATATTTTGTCTATAAATAGAAAAAAGTAGATTCACATTGCACGCCTTAGGTGATGTCTTTAAAAACTTGTTTGCTCAGATGCAGCAGATATACCCAAAGATGTTAAATTTAACAATGATATACCAACCCAGTGTAGGACATCTGTGTGACACAATATTTCACATTTCTTTATTGAAAAAAATTACGGAAGATTATATTATCAATTTGCTGAAGGTGCTTTTCTTATCCATTTTTTCTTTTTAATCAAAATTCATCAATTGAGTATATAAGAAATGCTATTTCTAAATCCAATATTAACTACTTTATGCTTTTGCAGGAATGTCCAATTGGAATTATTGTGGAATTATGGATCAATTACATAAGAAGCATTCCTATTTTGCGTTTAATAGAAGTTTTATTCTTCCTTGGTCGTCATGGCTCACCTTTGGGTAGAAGGTGGGTAATGAGGTGAGATGTGCCACAGTGTCAGCCAAGCCGTGCAGGCAACACAGGACGACCATATCGACCGTAAACTTTTAATTATCTCTCCCCATGGGACATGGAACACAGAGCTCTGAGACTGGACTCAACACAACGGCTCAAACAAAAGGATTCTGACAGATATTTAAATGTTGATATATTATTACAACAGCATTTGACAGGAACTGACAACATCCATGACTCCTGTGAGTTTGTAATGAAAAATATACTCCTTGTCTTACTGGCAGATGACATTTCAGTGTCCTGATGATGCTCCTTTATGTCTCTGACAGAGCAGAAGAAATCACCTGCAAGGCTGAATAAACAACCAAGGCGAACCGCAAAGTGACTCAGTTAATTGACACAAAATCCTCTGAGGTGTCCATGCAACAGTGAGAAGCATGACCTGTGCTCTTTGACACCCCAAAGGCAGCGCATAGTGACGCTAATGTTGCATTGGATGTTCGATGACGGATCATTGTGGCCAATCACAACACATGCGGAGGCGGTTTCTCTTGCACAGCCAGAAGCCTATGGCCAGAGAGAGGCAACGTACGACTTTAAAGCTTTTTGTTACCTCAGTACGGTCTGTCAGGCACGTTCAGCCCGGACCAATACATGAGAGAATGAAAATCTGCCGAAGACCGTGTGGAACAACACGGGCTTTTCAGGTTTCAAATCTGACACAATTAAAAGGGAAAGAAACGACTTAATTTCAAATATTAATTTGGTTTCGTTCATTAATGAAACTCATGATGTGCATGTTTTACCGCATTCACAGTGGGCTTCCCATGTCTGCTTGTTCCCTAGAATATCAGCGAGAGATTCACAGTGCCATGAAGTCACTAGACTTGGATGAAATTTCACTTAAGTGTTAGAATTAATACACAATATCAACAACATAAAACACTACCTTTTTTCTGTCAAGCCTCCTTGAACCTCACCGTGAAAAATAGGGCATGAAAAAAGGTTTCCTCTCTAGAATAAAAACTCCCTACCTATATCAAATTGCTTTTAAGTGACTCCTTTTCATTTTACTGTTAGGCTCCTTCCTTTATCG